CAATGCACTGCGGACTCTCAGCTCCGTGCTGTTGTCTTGCAGCTCTGGCTTTCTAGCCAAAGGCTTCGAGTGTGGACGCCGAGATTATCCCTCTTCCTTGGTGAGGGCAACCGGGAAGTAACATGCCCACAGTCTATGAACGCATTCTATAGATATTTTCTTCATATGTTGTAGCGCATTTGCCAGTTCCATGTAATTGGTTACGTGTTAAAATCAATACATAAAAAGATTGTGAGGACCCATTATTGCTTTTTCATGATTGAATATGAATTTCTTCACTATATATCCAGTGTCAAACAGTTTTGTTCATGTGTGGGTTTGAATCCCGCTGACGCATCTGATTCTTTTTGACATCATTTTGATCTCACTTTTGTCTCTTGGAGCTCGATTTAAGCACCCAGGGATTTTGTTTACCACACAATTTTCTCTTTCCATTTAATCCTCAAAACATCTCCAACCCCACTCCTCACCTGGTTTATCCAAAGGAAGTGGGAGGTTGGTTGTCGGATAATCGCTCGCCTTATTTTCCAATACCCCTAACAATGTCAATCCGGCTGTTTTGCTGCATCTCACCAGGTGCGTAATACAGAAAACAGTATGGTATATGGGTAGCGAAATTCGGGTTTCAATAAGCGATTTCGTTTTCTTGACCCTTCTATGGTAGGAATACCGAACTTTCTAATTGGAACCCGATTATCTTGATCTTTTATTTTCCATTCGGTACATGAATTCTCCTCTATTCAATTTTTTTTTTTGAGGGAAGGTCGCTCCAGTTTTCAAACCAGTTTCGGACTTTCGTAGTCTAAGTGGTTGACCAGCAGGTGAAGTTTGTTTACCTTTTTTATCAATCCCAGATGGTTAATAAAAGAAGAAGCTGAGGTGATTTTGTCTGACAATTGATGGAAACTTGTCCAAAAGTTGCATCTATGTTTCCTTTAGACCAGACAATTCTGGACCCATATCTACTGTCCGTTCATGTTTTCCGTTGGCTTTATTATCATAGTGCGTAAGAACAATTCTATTTTGTGTCGTGACATTCGCAGCTCCCTTTATACTGTTCTTTTTCCTTCGGTTTAACAGAGCTTGCGCCAAACTGTCCGGTATGTCAAACACAGGCACTCCGGGTTCCACTCGGAAGCATCATGCTACCGGGCATTCTTCCTCAAATACCTTTTCGGGGCCCGGACACGGTCTGCACTCCCCATCCCATAGTGCCGATGGGTCGGGCTGGACCGGCTCTGGTAAAACGCATCGAGGTGATGCGGCGTCTGGTGGCATTTTGGGGTCTGCTCTACCCTCATCACCCAATCCCTCTGGGTTTGATTGTCCTTCGTGGGATCTGAGTAACTCAAACAGAGCGCAATCCGGCGGCCCAATTGCCTCGACTACATCCTCCGGGACTGGGCCATGTGTGTGGATTGATGATGGACGCTTATATTGTGGACAAAAATGGTAGGTTTTTCTTGACTTTGACTATCTGTCAGAG